CAGCCTGATTGATGCCTAACTGCTCCCCTGACAGCCCGATCACCCACAACTGCCCTCCCCTGCCCTGACCCGCCTCCTCCGCCGGGACCCGCCTCCTCCACACAAGGCAGCAGAGACTCCGGGACCTGCCACCTCCCTGCCACATGGAGCTGTGGGACCCCCAGGCCTCACTGCACAGAGCGGCCACCGGATCCCGCTTCCGCTGTGCACACAGCCATCTTGTGACAGCCATCTTGTGATGGCCATCTTGTGACGACATGAGGGTGCAACGACCACCTAGGCTATTATTAGTATAGATTGTGGGTATACAATATCATATCAGTTTTATAAAGTTATCTCACATTATTGAGTATTTTCTTTTCCCCTTTTCACCCATCCCTCCTCCCCTCCCCTCTGGCAACCATCAGTTTGTTCTTCATTTCTATGTGTCTGTTTTTATTCCCTTTGGTTTGCTGATGTTAAAAATTCCAGTTATATAAATAAATAAATTCCAGGTTCAAGAGAAATCTTTCCCCCAGCATTTCACTCAGCATAATACGCTCCAAGTCCATCAATATGGTCTCAATACCAGCATCTCATTCTTTTTTTTCTTTCTTTTGGCTGATTTCTATTCCATTGTGCATGCATGCCACCTCTTTCTTACCCAGTCGTCTACAGCGCTAAAGATTCATTGCAAACTTCGTTTCTAAATTCTTTAAGTGTATGTGTTATTGTTGACAGTATGACAGATATCCCCTATCTGACTTCCATGTTCCCACTCCACCCAGTCCTGCCCCAGGCCTTCAATTCTTGATATAATAGCTTAGGACATTGATTTTTAAAGGTTTTTATTTAATTTTCTAATGTATTCATTCATGGTTTTTAATTTCATTGTTTCATAGGCCTGATGTGTAGAATTTTCATGATCATTTAATCTAAAACATGCACTTACGTTTTGGTTCACACATTGATTATTGAAAAGTCCGTTGCTTTATTTCCAGAACGTAGGCATATTAGTTATCTTTTTGTAATCTTTATTTTTATTGAATTCAGAGATGAAGGGAGAAGGAGAGAGAGATAGTAACACAAATGATGGGAGAGAATCATTGATCGGCTGCCTCCTGCAAGCCCCCACTGGGGATTGAGCCCACAACCCAGGCATGTGCCCTTGACCAGAATCAAAGCTAGGACTCTTAAGTCCGCAGGCCAATGCTCTATCCACTGAGCCAAACAGGCTAGAGCTTGGTTATCTTTGACTATAGAACCAGAAGACTCCAAGAGGGTCCCAGGAGCTGCTGGGGGTCCACATCTGGTCTCCAGGCTGGCTGGGCTCACTAGCTGAGTGTCTATGGGGGAAGTACCCATGCCTTCTGGGGTCCCTGCAGGCCCCCTCCAGGGAGCGTGGGGTCTGGGTCCTTCCTGGGCTAGTGGATGGCTAGAGTAGCGTACATGCTGGGCTCTTCTGGGGGCTCCTCTGATGGGGAGGAAAGGGGTGCCCTTGTCTCCCGGCTGAGGGCCAAGAGGTTCAGTTGGGCGTAGGTCACATCCTGGGGGGCGTCAGGTGCAGCCTGGAGCAGGGGGAGAGAGAGGGATGACACTTGGTGGGGGTTTGAAAAGGCTCGGGGCCTGGGGAGGATGGGACCCACCTGTCTGTCCTCTTCTGTTTGTCTGCCCTTTGTGTCCAGCAATACCCCTGACAGGGAGGAAGGAGAGGTGGCCATTCCCTGCCTGGGTCTTGGTCTTGAGAGGTTCACCTGGGCGTACGTCACTCCCTGGGGGCCTTCACCCTGCCTGCTCTGCTGGAGACGGTGAGACACAACAATGTCTCCTTGATTCCACAGTAGAAATCCTCCTGTCAATTATCATGTTGCCAGAGAGATGGTTTACACTTTAGATAGATCAGGTCCCTCTCCTGGTGGAATCTGCAGGGACTTCCTGAGCCTTGGGGCCTCTGGATGCTTCTGTGATTCTGACTCTTATCCTAACGTGCTCTCTCTTGCTCACTTGGCTCCAGCCTCATGGCCCGTCCTCCTGAAGAAGGATGTCCTGCCTCAGGACCTTTGCACCCGCTCTTTTCCCTGTCCCCCCACCATGCACTCTATCCAGCTCTTTACTCTCTGGGACACTGTCTGCTTGTTTGCATATTGGCTCCCTCACCCACAGGGGAGCTCGAGGCGTGTGGAGACAGTGTGGCTCAGGGCTGCACCGTGGGCCCTAAATGGAGCCAGGAAACAGCCCTGTCACATCTGCTGGGTGAATGAATGAAGGGGATCGAGGGGACCTGTGGGTGAGTCACTTATTCCTGCCTCCTCCTGAGACCTGGGGGTTGCACAAGGTCAGACAGAGGATGAGGGGCCGGCAAAGGGGACCACGTAGGAGGGGTCATGAGGTCACAAGGAAACCAGGAGAGTGAGTCACAGCAGGACGACCTGGGGGCCCAGAGGGGAGGTCAGTGTGGACGCTGCTGAGAAGCAGGTGAGGTGGGACAGGGGAGGAGCCATTGGATTAAACTGGGCAACAGAAGGTCCTTGGTGGCCTGGACAGGAGCAGGGGTCTCACCCGAGGGCCCAGCTCCAGGCTCTTCCCAGGTTGGGGGTCCTTCATGGCAGCATCTGCTGGGGAAGAATGGGGGGTGTCTCCTGGCAGGTCCCCAATATCTCAGGGCAGCAGACCCCACCTGCTCCCAGATGGGCCACTAACCCAGGGTGAGGTGCAAAGCCAGGTCACACAGTGTGGGTCTCAGTCCTTCTCACCCTGACCCCACATGCTCCAAACCTAACCCTCCCCATCATCTCCCAAGAACCTGTGCCCCCTCCCCCAGGGCAGCTGTCTCTTTTTCTCACAGAGGAGATCCTCTTGGGCATCAGCTGCTGGGCTGCAGGTGGGGGAGGAGACAGGAGAGTTAGAGCCAGGGCAGGGGTTGGGGGAGGGGAGGCTATGGGCTGTGGGAGTCTCGGGTCTTTGGGGCAGGAATTACATGATCTGCAGGCCTCTGTCCTTGGGCTCTGGGTCTGTGGTCCCTGCAGGAGGTTGGACATGAGCCTCTCTCTGGGTTGGTCAAGAGGGACAGTCTCAGCCCTGAGGGGTTAGGATCCCCCTCCCCCTGTGATTCCACAGGAAAGAAGGAACCTTAACACACACTTGTGTTCATATTTCATGAGACTGAAAAGGATGAAAGATTATTCTACATTGTACATCTGTGCTGACATTGTTTTCTTTCAAGATTTTCCGATTTGAGATTCTGGAGAAATCCTTTTCTCAGCTGACCTTCTCCATCTATTTGGTTTCCTGTGGGAGGTGCTCTGAGCCCCCCTCCTATGACCCAGGTCACCCCGTTCCCTACTCACCTGACATCCTGCCTTTGCTCTGACGTCGGTGTCGGAGGAGGAGAAGGAGGAGGGCGAGCAGCAGGACCAGGGCCACCGAGACCCCAGTCAGGATGTACAGGTACCATGGGAGACCTTGGACACAGTGATGTCATAAATGAGGCAATGATGCCTTTTCATGAGCACCTACTGTGTGTGAAGTACATGCTGGGGTCTGTCACTCATCTCCTCTCACCTCACAACAGTCATGCACCAGGGATGGCTGACCCCACCAACCACTTCACTAAGGCTCAGAAAGGTTAATCACGTGCCCCAGGTCACCCAGCCTGGATGGAACAGGGCTGGGACTGAAATCCAGGACTGTGGGTTCTCTGTGCTGTCCTCACCCTGCCCCCCAGGGGGACACCAGCTTCCTGCTCTGGGCTCCTCTCTGCAGGGGCCTGTCCACGTCTCATCTGGAGCTGATGGTCCTTCCTCAGTACCCGCCCCCAGCACAGCAGAGACAGGAGGGGCAGGGTGTGGGCTGGACTCTGAGTCTCTCCTGGATCCATCTCCACCCTGTAGGCCCTGACACCCCCTTGGGAAGGTCGGGCTGGGCTGGGGCTCTGCCTTCCTGAGCTCTGGAGGGCCCTTCTGTCACCTCATCTCCCAGCAGCCTGTGAGCAGGATGGGACCAGGGATGAGCAGACAGGAACCCGACACTCAGAGGAAAGAAGGGACCGCCCAGCCCCACAGCAGGAGCAGCAGAGCCTGGAGCTGAACCAGGGCTGATCCACCCTGTTCCCTCCACTGAGCTGAACCTGATCTGAGGGGTAGGACTGGGTGCCCGGACCCTTGTCCTGCCTGTCCCTCCCTGTACAGTGTCACCGTCACTGAGACAGAGGGGACAGGCCCCATAACATCACGTCCTGGGGGCTTCCCTGTGAGGCCCCTGTCCCAGGAGGTCAGGGCCAGAACTGACAGGAAATCTAAGCTCTGGACCAGGATTCTCTCCTTTTACACTTGGAGACACTGAGGCCCAGACAAGGGAAGGGGTGTCCATGTCAGCAAATCCAGAGAGGCCTGAACACCTTAACCCCCCATGGTTCAGCCCCTGTTCCCATGGAGGAACCCACCACCTCCCCCAGAGAGCCCCTCACTTACCCCTCTGTGGGCCCGACTCAGATCCTCCTAGGGATGAGGATGACAGGTGAGTAGTGGGGACTGCCTTCTCCCCACATGAGCCCAGCACCCTCTCCCCAGCCTATGCCCCCACATCTCCCTCTGCTTTGACCACCCACCCACCACCAGCCTCAATCCCTGGGAATCCCAGCCCCCCTAGGACACAAGCCCGTCCTTGAGGATCTGGGTCACTCGATGCTCTGACTGACTCTCAGGACTTGCTGGGTGGGTTGTGCTCCCTCTGAGCAGAGCTCCCCGGGACTCACCAGCTGTGGAGGTGGGCCCTGTGGGTGGGGGGCTGGGGCCTCCAGAGGGTCCTGGAAATGAGGATAGAAAGGGGTGAGGCTGGGGCTCTCTCTGGAGTCTCCAAATCACTCTGTCGCTTCTCCTAAATCTGCTCTGTGACCCCCGAAGACACTCCCCCTGCCCACTTAACAACTTCCCAACCCAGTTCATGGGGAGGAGTCAGCAAAAGTGAGAGCATCTCTGAGGGCAGATCTCTGCTGGGTGACCAACACTCAGACCCCTCACTCTCATCCAACCTCAGATGTCTCCTGGGGGCGGGACCCTGAGCTGCCTGTGCTCAGAGAGGCTGGGATCAGGGGCCGCTCACCTGAGACCGTTAGATGCAGGGGGTCACTAGGGTCAGACAACTCCTGGGGATGCTTCTCAAAATAGCCATAGCATCTGAACGTCCCCCTGTGGCTGGGGGTCACGGGGCCCACACGGAACAGGGCCTGGGACCGCCCACTGGGCTGTGGCTGTGAGTCCAGGGTCCAGGAGAGCCTGTGATCTCCTTCCTTAGTCAGAATGAACCTGTCAAATTCCTGCCTTGAGCCACACTGGAGGGTCACGTACCCTTCTGAGGTCACAACACGGCTGGGCAGGGCTGAGAGGCTGGGTTTGCTGTGGACTCCTAGGAGAGGAGGAGGCAGTGTGTTAAATGGTCTCACAGCTCCCTCATGTCCCCCAGGGCTGGGCTGTGAGAGGGAGACACCCTGAGAGCAGACCCCCCTCCTGAGGGCAGAGCCTGAGGCTGGGACCCCTGAGTGTCCTCTCACCTGTCACCACCAGCTCCAGGGGGTCACTGTGCCCTGACCAGCCAGTGGGGCTGAGGTAGTTACAGGTATATCTCTCTGCATAGTTTCCTGTAATGAGGAACTTGGCCCTGTCTCCAGGCTCCAGCGATTTCTGTCTGTCCAAGTACCGAGGACTGCCATCTGCATACAGCCGGTACTCCTGAGCCTCCAGGATCCCCCGACACCAGATGGTCACAGGGCTTCTCCAGGAGATCATAGCGCCTGGCTCAGCCCAGATGGTAGGTTTGGGGAGGGTCCCTAAAAGGAAACCAGAGGCTGCTTTACAAAGACCTTCTCCCCTTACTTCCCAGCTCAACCCAAAATCCTCATTTTATCACCTCATCCCAGGACCTCTGTGCTCCCACCTGAGCCTCAGTGGCTGAAGTAAGAGGAAAGACATGGAGCCTGGGGAGGACTCACCTGCCTGCACATGGATCCTCTGGTCCAGACTCAGCCCTGGAAGAGAGTCCCTGTCAGAGATTTGCACCCGGACATCTCAGCTGAATCCCTTCCCATCACGGTCCCATCCACTGTAGCTGCCTGAGCCTGAGGTTCCCCCTGAGCAACAGAGTGTGAGCCTCCCCTTCCCGCCTGCTCCCCGTCCCCATGTCCGCAACTGACCGAGGCAGAGAAGAGCAAAGAGGATGGTCGTCATGGCGTCTGCTCTGAGGGCTCCTGCTGTGAAGATGGAGGAGGCCTTGGGCCGAAGGACAGAGACGCACAGGATGTGGCGAATCAGGAGCTGCTGCCGCCCTTCCGGGTTGTCACAGCTGTGGACCCACAGCCCGGGGACGGCCCCTTCTTTGGGCTGGCTCTGGGTTTTTTCCATGATGAGGGCTCAGGAGGACCCCAGGGCCTCCAGAGAAACAGCCCAGATCTGGAGTCTCTTCTGACTCCCAGGACTCTGCTGGATCTGAAATCCTACTCCGGGACCCAGGTCCTTGTCCTGACTTGATCCTCTGAATAGAAGTTACTGATTTCCTCCCATGAACAGAATTGACTTTTGGTCTTTGACTCGTCCATAAACAAATATTTATTGATCACCTACTATCTGCCGAGTATTTGTGCCTGAACCAGAAATACATCCATGATGGATCCAGGAGACCCATCACCTGTATTTTGCGAATTCTTCTTGGCAGAGTATGGGCATTCGAAGGCTAATATTGCGATGACTTTACATACAGAGGACAAATGAGAGAAAACGTGGGAAGATCTGGGGGCCATGACTAGACTGTGGTTGAGGGGATGGCTATTTGAAGAGATGGAGTCCGAAGAGGTGGGAGTGAGAATATTCTTGACAGGAAGGAACATTCTAGAGAACCCTAGAGACATAGAGAGTCTCTGAACAACAGTAAGAGAGGGTGAGGTGGTGGCTGGTCATAGGCGTGCTCCACCCCCACCCCTCCCGCCCCATGCAAGGATGTGGGATTCTGTCTATAAGGCAAAAGGAATGCATAGGAATGGACTGTGGTGGTCAGCCTGAGTTATGAAGATCGTATGGGCCATGTATCACAAACGAACCAGAGAAATGAAATGCATGTCAATAAAAGATAACATCGACTGTAACTGAACTCCAACCTTGTGTGTCCAGCCATGCTCCATGAATGTCTTACATGGATTTACCACACAATCCCTGCATAGCCCTGAGCAGTCACAACACATGCAGGGAAGAGAAATGAGAAGAAGGAACCTCAGTGTTGCTTCTACTCCTGTGTTTTACACTATGGGCTTTGGAAGGAGCTTGCTAGTCCTATAGAACTCTAAGAAAGCAGATATAAAGGAGCACAAACATGTTCAATAGTAGATGGTGTGAGTGTGCGTGTGTATGTGTGTGTGTGTGTGTGTGTGTGTGTGTGTGAGTGTGTTCATGGGGTAACTGCACCTGTCTGGTTGAAGGAAGCAGAAGTGAGAGCTAAGGTTGGAGCGTCCCAGCTGGATGATCATGAACAGCCTTCTGTTCAAAATGAAGAGTTTGGATTTACCCTAAAGACAGTGAGGACCCTGGAAGGAATTTGAGCATGAAATGGACAGATACTAAAATGAGGTTAGATGCCTATGTGGAGCGTGAACTGGAGAAGGGAGTGAGGGTGTGGAGCTCAGAGCTCAAGCAGGTGGTGGACGTGAAGGCTGCCCTGGGGGTATGAAGGTGACCTCCCTCCTTGCCTTGTTGACTGGGGATACCAAGGAGCCCTCAGGACTATGAGCCCATGGGTGGGGGAGGGAGGAGCCTGGGGGCTGTGGAAGATGAATCTGCTCCCACAGGAAGCTCAATGCCTCCTCTTGGTCCTGGGATGCAGGTACTACGTCTCACACAAGTTCCACCTGACTTTGTGTCTCTCCATGTCCTGGGGGTCAATCATCTGAGTCATTTCTGCCCCTTCAGAGCACCTTTGATGCCGGATGTCACTTTCCTCTTCAAACTGTAGAGAACTTTCAGGTTTCAGAAAAAAATTGTCATTCATGAGAGTCCTGTTCCAAGGCAGTAAGACACACTGAGAGACATGCTTTAAATAACTATTGTGGCTCTACCACAGCCTGACTGGTTGGAGGATACTTGAGCAACCTGCTTCCTCTCTTGGTCTTACTTCCCTCATTTGTAGCCGTGTGATACCAACACCACTCCTACAAATGTGGTGAGAATTCACCCTACCTGAGATATGGGGTGATGGAAACCAGCCTTTCAGGTGTAGATGGAGATGGTGGCGGTTTGAGAAATTGAAAAGCAGAAGCACCTCGTCCAAAGGAGCAGAAGGAAGACTCCAGATCAGACCCCTCGTGTGGAGTCACCTGAATCATGACAGACCTTTGCCGTGCAATGGGGCGGGGGGATGGGGGGGGAGTATGGTCTTTCCATCAGGTGGTGCTGGGCCAGTTGGTGAGTCCGTGGAACACGGTGAACTTTTATGCCTACTTCATGTCTAGACTGTCATATTTAGTTTTCTAAATTCTACAATCACATATTGATTTTTTAACATAATTTTCTATTTTATTTCTTTTATAACAAGCTCTTTTTTGTTTTGTTGAACATGTTCTTCATGCTCAACACACCAAGAGGATAAAATGTCTATATTAGATTGAAACATACTTGTAGTGAAGGTAAACCATTTTTGAAATTTTAGACCTAGAAGAGACTCTACATAAAACATATGAAAGTCACATGCTCATATTTCTATGCCCCTTTTGTAAGAAATTGAAGGGACACTAGAAAGAGACATAGCTAGGCGCCCTACGGAAAGGGGGTGGAGCTGTCCACGACCCAGTTCTGAATTCACACCACCTCTCAGGATTAACGTACAAAAAGGGCAGAATTAGGGGAGATGGTGGTGGCCCACAGTCTTAAGATAAACCTCCTAGATACACAACCGCATTCCTGGTCAAGGTTGGGCCAGGTATGAGTCAGCACAACCTCTTGAAAGGAGGTGAGCTGTCCTGACCTGTGGATTCTGTGATGACAACTTTGAATTTTCTTTGCTGTATCAGGTTAGTGGTGTTCATCCATCAGGAAAAGGCATGAACTCCCAATGGAAGTTTTTGTTTTAATATATTTTTATTGATTTCAAAGAGGAAGGGAGAGGGAGAGAGAGAGAGAGAGAGAGAGAGAGAGAGAGAGAGAGAGAGAGATGTGGGAGAGACACATCAATTGGTAGCCTCCTGCACGGGCCCCAACCAGGGCCCGGGGCCAGGGCCGGGAGGAGCCTTCAACCTAGGTACATGCCTATGACTGGAATTAAACCCGTGACTCTTCAGTCCACAGGCCGACACTCTATCCACTAAGTAAAACTGGCTAGGGCGGTACATCTCATCTTTTTTTAATTCAAGAGTTTTTAGTTCTGGGGGAAGGGTTTGGGAGAACTGCACAGAAAACCTTGAATATACATGGGCATTTTTATTTTGCCAGGCATTGTTTTAGGTATCTTTCATATTCACTCAATCATCATAAAAACCCAATAAGTAAGTCATCTCTTTTTTTTAAGGCTGAGAAAATGGAGGCACAGAAATTTCAAGTCTTTTTTCCAGGACTACATCGTTAAGATTCCGTGATTTTGCCCATTATTCCAGAGCTAAGATTACACGAGCCTAGATTGCAACAGAATTAGCTGCCTCCGTAGTCCAAGTTCTTAAGCACTGGGTTATTCTTCCTTTCTAGTTCTAGGAATATTCTGTTTTTCAAACTGAGTATGGTGTACACATGCATATTAGAGTTACTGTTTACTAGAGGCCCAGTGCATGAGATTCGTGCCCTGGGGGGGGGGGTCCCTCAGCCCAGCCTGCACCCTCTTGCTCCTGCATTGAACATCTGCCCCCGGTGGTCAGTGCACGTCATAGCAACTGGCCATTCTGCTGTTCAGTCGATTTGCATATTAGCCTTTTATTATATAGGATACCTTTCATATACTGTATTACAGATGACATATATATATGAAATATTTCACTTAAACATGTAAGTGCTTTTCCATCTTTTTTTAATATATTTTATTGATTTTTTTTACAGAGAGGAAAGGAGAGGGATAGAGAGTTAGAAACATCGATGGGAGAGAAACATCGATCAGCTGCCTCCTGCACACCTCCCACTGGGGATGTGCCCGCAACCAAGGTGCATGCCCTTGACCGGAATCAAACCTGGGACCTTTCAGTCTGCAGGCCGACGCTCTATCCACTGAGCCAAACCGGTTAAGGCAGTGCTTTTCCATCTCTATGCCCTCCTCCTCTGGGCTCCGGCTGGCTGTCCGGGGCCTTGGCATTGGGGGGGAACATAACGAGATGCATTGAGAAACAACAGCAGGGCAGTAGGGAGCCATTACCCAGAGGGCCGAGGAGAAAGAAGCTCTTCTCACTCCGGTCACATTTGGCTTTCACTTCCTCTCCTAGAGTTCCCCAGACAGCACCCGATGAAAACAAGGAGAGGCCATTGTTCAGAATCATGTTTAAGGGACATTGTTGAGACAACAGATCCCTGACACATCCTTAGAGTGACCCACCTCTGATGTTCTTTCTTTTTAAAAAAATTTTCTCTTAAATTTATTGGGGTGGCATTGGTTAATGAGATTATATTGGTTCTGCCCTTCCAGTGTAGCTCAGTGGTTGAGCATCGACCCACATACCAAGAGGTCACAGGCTTGATTCCCGGGCAGGGCACATGCCAGGGTTGCCAGCTTAATCCCCTGTAGGGGTCCTGCAGGAGGCAGCCAATCAATGATTCTCTCTCATCATTGATGTTTCTATCTCTCTCTCCTACTTCCTTCCTCTCTGAAATCAATAAAAAATATATTTAAAATATGTATTTTTAAAAATAAAAAATGAGCTCCCATTCCTGGGCTCTGGAGCTGAAATGATATGGAACATGACCAGTGACGGTCCATCCCCTTTGAATTGTGTCTCTAGGTACCGTGAGCCAAGACTATACACGGTGCAGAACTTGATCCAATTGGGCGCGGCCATGCTGGTGCTCCTGGCTCTTTTGGCCACACTGGCTGAAAACTGGTGCAGCCGTAAGGTTTCACACGGAGGACACTGGCAAGAGGTGCCTGAACCGAGCCCGAGTGAGCAGAAAAGCCAGGCAGGGTAGCCCTGCGGACTGAGCCCTGGCGGCCACCAGGAAGACACCTGGGGCTGCAGGTGGATAACATCCGAGCTTGCAGAGTCCGGCAGAGCACA